AGATCTTCATGAAGGAAAGTTTGTGAAATCTTCCTCTTGAGGAAAACATAATATTTTATTCCTTTTTCATTCTTCAATAGTGTAAGAAACCACCCTTTATTTAACCCTCTCATAAACTGATGTTCAGAAGATGGAATCTCATCAGATATTCTGTTTGAGATGTAGCTAGTGACTAGAGGCAGGGAGGCAGATGGAGTAGGAGGTGAAGCATAGAATCCAGACCCACAGGGATGTTTAAAGAGAGTGAACAGAAATGAGGTAAAAGAGTCAGGATGTAGGGAGGGTTAGGTGGAATAGACATGAGGGTTGAATGAGAGGTTAAGCCAGTCTGTGTAAGAAGAAAGTTATTTAGTAGGCACAACCTGGAGAACAGAAAAGGGTGAGATGGAGAAGTAAGAGAAGTGTATGGGTAGATTAGATTAGCCTAACTGGAAGAAAAAGGAGTAGAGTGGGAGCAATTGTGTCTAGGAAATTAAAGTTGGATAAGGCCCTAGGATTCACATACAGTCAGGGAATTGGAGAGAAGCTAAGCAGAGCATTAGATGTAGCTGAGTGGGATAGGTAGAAATAGCTGAGGAGACAATCACTGACAGGAACACTTACAAGCACTTTGCTTTCAGATCTTCAGTGTGGTGAAAGGGACATTGAAATGAAAACATTAATTAGGATGAATAAATTATAGTAAAACTAATACAAATGTATCACAACTACATTATCTTCTGACTTTGCTCAGAATTTGGCTTTGCAAATCCTTTTTCCTAAGTGTATGAAATGTTTTGTCTTTATTTTCTGCTAGAGAATTATACCTTATAGTTTCAAAAGCAAGTAAGTTAACTTTGGCCTGGGAGAACCAATGAATAAAAGATTTCTTGTTGCAATCAAGTGACCTTGGATTATTCTGCAAGATGATATCTTTAATAGTTGAGATAGAAAAATGTTAAATGAAGTTTAGTAGTTGACATCTGACAAGTAAAATTTGTTCCTACTTTAGTAAAAGTTGAATATATGTTTGAGAAGTTATCAAAAGTTTACCACCCCCTTTTCTCCTAACTCTTCATTCATTTTCTAAGTGTCCCTTTGATCTCACTGTTATATGCCCTCATGAATCATTTGTTGTGATTCGGGGGATAGTGGGGCTTGATTCCTACACTGTCCTGAATGATTTCAAATTTACCGACATTCCAGAAAGGTCATTTTTGAGTTTGGCTTGGATAAAAACTGCCCCTTCTGATCTTTCCATCATTAAGTTCACACTCTTTGACCTCATGTAATTTAACATTATTCACCTCCTTGCTTCCCAGTCTTGCCATGTATACCTTCTCCGGTCTTCAATCCATCAATATCCCTGATTCCTTATAAATAATCAGCCCTGTCTCCTCTCTTTCCAAGATGAGCTAAATATGTCAGTATATAGCTGTATTATAAGAGCTGAAGTTTATCTTTTTTGGAGACTTTTTTAGTAATATTCACCAATGTTAATAAACATAGCCCTATGATGTCAATGTAGATATTTACTTATGTCTACAAGCCAAACCAAGAAGGTATGGTGAAGAACATAAGAATGGCCATACTGGATCAGACCAAAGGTCCATCCATCCCAGTACCCTGTCTGCAGATAGTGGCCAATGCCAGGTGTCCCAGAGGGAGTGAATCAAACAGGTAATGATCAAGCGATCTCTCTCCTGCCATCCATCACCACACTCTGACAAACAGAGGCTAGAGACACCATTCGTTACCCAAACTGGCTAATAGCCATTAATGGACTTAACCTCCATGAATTTATCTAGTTCTCTTTTAAACCCTGTTATAGTCCTAGCCTTCACAACCTCCTCAGGCAAGGAGTTCCACAGGTTGAATAAATTGTCAGAGACTGGCCAAAGAACGTCACAACATTATTTTACAATTTTATTTTAGATGTTCTGAACCCCCGAGGCTTGGAGAAAGTATTGTGGTGCATTGGGGAGAGTCCTGGTGGTTTAAAGCCATTCATCTCTCTAAGTACAGTGTGACAATGCAGCCCCTATTGTAGCGGGGACATCTGCAGATGAAAAAGCATATAGCCTCTTCACCGAGGCAATGCAATTACAGGCAGCCACCAGCACAATGCCAGCAAAGTAGCTCAGGCATCAGGTATTTTTATAGTCGCACCATGAAGTGGAGCGGGGAAGGAGTCACTGGATTCATTCTGACTGTAACATTGGTTCCTAATAGAAATGGGAAATGTATTTATAGTTGTCTAGGTCTATAATAGAAAATAAAAGGGCCAGCAGATTTTTCTTCCATATCAATACAAAGTCACATATATTAGCAACTAAAGTACAGTGTATCCATTAAACTAACATTGGACACTGTAGCCGGCTTGGCTGCACAGAGGGGTTCCTCCTCCTCCGTGTCAGTGGGCAGCCACTCTGCCCCACTACACTGTCCCTTTAAGCCAAGCCCATGTCACAAGTCCCTGCCCGTCCTTCCTTCAGGCAGGTGGCACACAACAAAGTCTGCTTATCTATAAAGGCCCATCACTGGTTCAGGGTGGGCAGAAGGTCCACAAAGTCCCTTTCTGGGGATAGCCCTGGTTCAGGGAGTGGCAACAGGCAAACACAGAGTCAGTTTTACAGTTACACCACGCCCTGATTCAGGGCGTGGCAACAAACAAACCCTGTTAATTCAAGGATAGGCTGGGCCCGGATTCAGGGTGTGGCAGCAGGCAATCACAGAGTCAGTTTAAGGGGAGGCCAGGTCCTTGGCTCAGGGCATGTCATCAAACAAGTACATGCAGTCAGTTTCTAGGGAGTGGTCATGCCCTGGTTCAGGGTATGGCACCAAACAATCCAACACAGCAGGTTTGGGGGCTCCTTGTTCAGGAGGGGTGCAGGCTAATTGCCTGTGGCAGTGGCGAGGGGGAGACTGCCACCTGGTAGGTGATGGCGGGGGGGAGGCACAGGTCCACCCACTCCGCTGCACCCCAGCCCAGGGCCCTAGGAGCAACAATGCAGGCTGCTATGAGCTCAGCGGGGACTTCAGCCCAAAACACACCAGCCTTAGGGCCTTTAACAGCCCCCACTAGTCCCTGGGCCACTTCTCACCTCCCCCTCAGCCAGTACCTGAGTTTCTGGCTGTATGATCAGGGAGTCCGGTACAGGTTTGTCACACTGGGGTCCCGGTGGTCTGGTCCAGTCCTCTGCGACTTGCAGGTCTCCGGGTCTCATTGTCTCCAGGTGCAGGCTTGGTCTGGTGTCTAGGCCAGTCTGCAAGGTCAGGCTCTGTTGGGGTCTCGGGCCAAGCCTCTAGCCTTGGCAGCAGCAGCAGCTTCTCACAGTTCCTGGGCAAGGGCTCGGGCATGGAATCAGGCTGGTCTTCGTGGTCCTCTTCATGGTCTGCTAGGGTAGGCAGGCCAGGCCAGGCCAGTCCTCAGCCTCCCAGGCAGGTAGCAGGTAGTCAGCCTCTGGCCCCAAGAAGGTGGGAGGCCCTGGCCAGGCCTCAGTCCCAGCCTCCCAGGCAGGGAGCCCTAAGAACATAAGAACATAAGAACGGCCATACTGGGTCAGACCAAAGGTCCATCTAGCCCAGTAGCCTGTCTGCGGACAGTGGCCAACACCAGGTGCCCCAGAGAGGGTGGACCGAAGACAATGATCAAGCGATTTGTCTCCTGCCATCCCTCTCCAGTCTCTGACAAACAGAGGCCAAGAACACCATTTTATCCCCTGGCTAATAGCCTTTTATGGACCTAACCTCCATGAAATTATCTAGCTTCTCTTTAAACTCTAGTATAGTCCTAGACTTCACAGCCTCCTCTGGCAAGGAGTTCCACAGGTTGACTACACGCTGTGGCTATGTCTACGCTGGCCCCTTCTCCGGAAGAGGCATGCTAATTTCTAACTTTGGAATAGGGAAATCCGCAGGGGATTTAAATATCCCCCGCGGGATTTAAATAAACATGGCCGTTGCTTTTTTTCCGGCTTGGGGAAAAGCCGGAAAAGAGTGTCTAGACTGGCGCGATCCTCCGGAATAAAGCCCTTTTCCGGAGGATCTCTTATTCCTACTTGCAAATAGGCCGCTGCTGCACACTGTGTGGAAGTTTTCAGAGAACTGTCCACGATAAGTCCAAGATCTCTTTCCCAATTTGTCGTAGCTAAATTAGCCCCCATAACACCATTTCCTGTAGGTTCACATCTAGGACTCCAAGGTAGTAATAGGTGTAAGAGGTTCTTGTGGAGTATAGTTGCTCAAGAAACACATTGTGTATCTGACTTCAGAGACTAACTCTGACAGATTGTACAGAACAAATCCCACGCTGCTCTTAGCCACGCCCCCTGTGGGAAATTTGGAACCACAGGGAAAGTCTCTACCCCACCCACTTTCCTCCTTGTCAATTGCAAGTAAGAACATAAAGTAGCTTAGTGCTAAAATATTTACATATTATCTCAAAGAGAATCAGGATGTACACCCTGTGTTCTCTAAGACCGTCAAAAGGTTGAGATGCACACAAGAGGTTGAAAAAAATCCCCCCAGAAGCTTGTACAAACCACAAATCTATATAAATCTATATCTATCTATATATACACACTAGATAGCAAATACAGAAGAGCAAACAATTCACAATCTCTGGGGAAAGCTTCTTTTGCAACAGAAGAGTTTTCTGTTAAAAGCAGAGTTTTCCTGTGCAAGCTTCTGGCCCCTCTGCAGGTTCAGCCTTGCCTGAGTTCACCAGTTGGGTTTTTATAGCTCTGGCCCCGCCCCCTGGCTTCCTGTCAGGTGGCTGGGCGGGGTCAGCCTCAGCCCAACATGGTTCCTCCTCTTCCATGTCAGTGGGTGGCCACTCCGCTTCACTACAACACTTACTAAATCCTTACCAAAAGGACTGGAGGAAAAAGGTGTGTATTGGGAGAGGTTATTTTTCAGGTTTCTGAATAACTTCATAAAGTGTTGATGGTATGTAACACATTGTACACATTGTCTTCATTCAAATTAAAGTGCAGCCTGTGATGTATATTTTTATCTAGTTGGTGGAGCCAAAAAAAATCCGGGTTACAGAAGCTCAGGAAGTACTAAGACTTGCCCATCAAAAACTCGATGAAAAACAAAAAAGTCTGGCCCTGGTGAGACATTTCTCATTATTATATATTTTTCCTTAGATACTGAAGCATGTAAATATTCATATTTTATAGATCCTGTCATGAATAGGAGCTGCAAGGGAGAGTTTGACTCACCTGGAGAGCGAGGAAAGGGTTACTCTAACTTGGAGCTATACCTGAGAGAGGGGGTTTTGAGTATTCAGCCAATGAAATTCAGATAAGGAATTTTAAATAGAGAGGGGGATTTTTTCCCTCTTGTTTGGGGCAAGCAGCCATTTTTCCCCATGGAGGAGGAGAGACAGAGTCTTCCAGGATCAGATTCCTTGAATTCATTGAATTGTATAAGTAGGGAAAAGTTTAGATAGTCCATCAGGTTTTATTGTTTTCCTTGTTTGGGGATTTGGAAATCATGTCTGAGCTGATTAATTGTTTTTTCTCTTTTGTAACTAAAGATTACAGCCCAGGGATTTTCCCTGAGTTTATTTCTGTTCATGACTTTTAACACCCAGTCATTTAGTATGCTTGCAACAGTAGTCTTGTTTTATAATGAAAGTGTTTTCTTTTTGTTTTGGTTAACTGATTTTTGTGTCCTTAAATCTACATGCCTAAGTGAAACCACATTACCCAGGAGAAGCAGAGCCCCATTGTTCTCTGCAGATTATCTCTGTTTCTTTTCCCAACTACAAGCAAAACAGAGGTTAGGGCAGAAGGGAGAGCTTTGACTCAGGGAAGGGATTCCAAGTGATTTCTTCCCTGGAAAAGGGTTTATTTTATATTTTTAGATACACTTGGTGGTGGCAGCAATCAGTTTTCTTTCTTTTTGGATCTTAGGGAAACTGAGACTGGACAAGTTTGTGTCTGGCAGTTATGGAGACAGGTTCTTACAGAGTTTATTCTGCTAGCCAGCCCCCATATCTACCCTCTAAGTGCCAGTTTGGGGAATTAAGCCATGACAGATCCTATAAAAACTTGCAGAAGTTCTTTTTAAAACTTCAGAAGTAAGAAACTTTAATAGCGTAGAGGCCTGAGTCTACTATCTGAAGACTGTAGAACGCCTGTCTGATGTCTCATGTACTTAAATTGAAGCTTTACCTGCACTAGGACTGCAAAATCAGTCTTTTAATCAGATTTCAGAGAAGACTAGAGACAAGTGGTTTCTTCTGAGAAAAAGCTTCCGATGAATGCATCCTGATTACTTTAATTCCCTTCAACAAACTACTACTCAAATTTGGGACACTGATCTTTACAGTGGGAGTAGGAAGAGGATTAATTAATGCTGCAAGTTTAAAACAATAGAAAATAATCAATATTAATAAATAATTCCAACAGAACAATTCCAGTACCTAGGGAAAATGTTGCTCCAAAATGTAGGAAAGGACCTCTTGAAAATTGACAGTAGAAATTTGTGTTGGGCCTGTACTTCAGAGATGGTAAAGGTGACTTAGCCTTAAAATTGCTATGATCATTTGACATTCATGGATTGTTGTATTATTGTCAGACAGTGCACAATGAGAAAGTTTTAGAGCAATGCAGTGTGAAACAACTGTCAGTCACTACTGTGTAAGCTCTTATTTTATAAAAATTAGTAGTCCTGTGGCACCTTCAAGACTAACAAAAATATATAGTATCATGAGCTTTCGTGGGCAAAACCCACTTCATCAGATGAGCTCATCTTATGAAATGGGTTTTGCCCACGAAAGCTCATGATACTATATATATTTGTTAGTCTCTAAGGTGCCACAGGATTAGTCATTTTTAAAGTTACAGACTAACATAACTCTCCCTCTGAGATGTATTATATAAGTTCAAGCCTATTACATCAATAGCACACATAGTAATTGAAATGGTGAACTAAATCTGATAAATGGCAGACTTAATCAAAATAGAAAATAAAAATCTTGATCTATAATTTGCCAATTGATTTTTAGATTGAAGAACATGAACAGAATTTAGAGGCAAGCTATCAAGAGAGCATAGCCCAGAAAGAAGTGTTAGCAACTCGAAAGCAAGTGGCAACTCAGCGTCTACACAGAGCATCTATATTAAGCACAGCTTTGGAGAATGAGATGGTATTGCCTTTCATTTCTTGTATTGTCTATTTTTTGGCCTCAGCATTCAAGCATGAGTATCATAGGAGTTTTATTTCATTTACATGTTTCAGGAATGGGAAGCTGACTCCCCTTTTCCAATAATGCTTCCCCTCTCCCACATTACCATCTGGCTTACCAATATGTTGTGGCCTTTTGTACTGGGCTGTCTAATTTAACAACTAGAATCTGGCCTTGAGCAGAAGAGAACTGCAAAGATTTGAAACACATTTTTCATTGACAATCCACAGTTCTTCTTCAAGTACTTGTTCATGTCAATTCCAATCCAGTGTATGCATGCATGCTCACGGCAGCCAAAAGGTTTTTCCCCTTGAATATACATTGGGTCTTTCTGCACAGACCCTGCAGTGGCGCCCTCATGGCATCCAGTGTAGAGCCCCACCATCCTCTTGGTTCCTTCTTATTGCCAGTGACGGTTAGGTGGAACTTCCCTGTGCTTTTGTCTCAGCAAGTAGCACTGAGGCCTGTGCAATAACATCTCCCTTTTGGACTTCCTGGGTTTTTTTATCAAAGTCAAGGTTGGAGCTGAGGGTCACATTTCAGGGAGGTATCGGTGGCCTTAGACACCTTTGTTCCCACTTCAGCACCACTGGCATTGGTAGGATCAAGGATAGTCACATTGTCATCCAGCACCACCATCCCAACGCTGTCAGCACCAGCACAGCCTTCACCAATGAAGTCTTCACACAGTACACAATCAACCTGTGGAATTCCTTGCTAGAGGATGTTGTGAAGACCAGGACTTTAACAGGGTTAAAAAAAGAACTAGATAAAGTAATAGAGATTAGGTCCATTAATGGCTAGGAATGGTGTCCCTAGCTTCTATTTGTTAGAAGATGGAAATGGATAACAGGAGAGGGATCATGTGATGATTACCTGTTTTGTTCACTCTCTCTGGGGCATTTGGCATTGGTCACTGTTGGGAAGAAAGGATACTGGGCTAGATGGACCTTTGGTCTGACCCAGTATGGCCCTTTATATGTTTACTACTGACAGTGGTTCCAGCACTGACTGTGATTCCAGCATCAAATGATGGCCTCAACACCGATAATACTTTCAACGGCAGCAGTACTTGCATTGGTGTATGCAGCCCTGACATTGAGGGGCACAATGCCATCTGCATTGGCATCAGCCCAAGAAATCCAGGTGCACCCCTTGGTGCAAAAGGAAGGGAGCAGCCACCCCTTATGAGGTTCTGTTCCTCATCCTAACCAGACAAGGCACTGGCTGGCATGCATACAGCCTCAGCCTTGGAGGACAGCAGGGTTCTCCACCATTTGCTGTGGCAGGTTCCTCAGAGCTTGGTCATTTAGGTGGAGGACTCAAATCCAATGGTGAATATCCTCGCCCTCTCTTAGCCTCCACCTATTGCCATCCCTCTCATAAAGACCACCTCTAACACATAAAAACTTTGCAGAAGACCCCAGACTCATTGTCCCTGATGGCTAAGCACAATGAAAGGCACTACTCTGCTGTTCAGGGGCTATGAGCATTTGTACACCTATCTCCCTCCTGATTCTCTCATGGTTTATGCTGCCACCCAACATGAGTGCCAGGGCTTCCTAGACAGAGGTATCATATGAGATTTTGGTCAGGGGGAGAATGACCTGTGCTTGCCATGGTGAGATGGGGGAGAAGAGAGTGAGAGCATGAGGGGATAGACTGAGGACAGAGGCTTCAGCAGTGTTACTGCGCATGTCCAAATGTGGGGGGAACCAAGCCCAACCGCCCTACCCCAAAGACACATCATCTCTATCCAGGGACAACTAAGGCACTGGAAAACTCTCCTTTTTTGGCAGACAATTTAGCCATTAGCCACAAGAGACTATAGCTAATTCCTATATAAAAGAAAGACATTTCAATAATACCCACTCAGCTCTAATACTAGCATATTCTGACATCTTGTGGCAAGTCACTGAAAAGACACTGGTTAGCCTTAACATTTTAATATATATTCTTACTTTTTTACTAACTCTGTGGAGAGAGAGAGAGGCCCTATCAGGACTTCCAGGCTGTATTTCAGCTCTGGAAGGAGAGTGACATCTAGAGGTTTACAGCAGGGGCAGATACATTTCAGCTTTATGTAAGAACATCAGATTGGTCATATTGGGTCAGAACAATGGTCCTTCTAGTCCTGTATTCTGTCTTCCAACAGTGGCCAATGTCAGGTGCTTCAGAAGGAATAAACAAAAGAGGCAATCATCATGATCCATCCCTTGTCACCTATTTTGTTTGTTTTAAATCTGCTTCCTGTACATTTAATTAGGTCATCTTCTTGTGTTATGTTAGTGAAGGAATGACTAACATTTCCTTATTCTATTTTTCCACACTACTCATGATTTTCTAGATCTCTAACATATCTCCCCACCCTTTACTCATTTATTTTCCAAGCTGAAAAGTCCCAGTCTTGTTAATCTCTCCTCATATGGAAGCTGTTCCTTACCCCCTAATCATTTCTGTTGCCCTTTCAATACCTTTTCCAATCAATATGTCTTTGTTTAAGATGGGATGACCAGATATTCTGTTAGTAATTGTAAAGTCTGGTAATTCCCAATATTCTGTTAGGTTTTTAGTTTTTAGATTGCCACTGCACATTTAGCATTTGTTTTCAGGGAACTATCCACAAGGATTCCAAGATCTCTTTCTTGAGTGGCAACAGCTATTTTAGACCCCATCATTTTTGTATCTATAGTTAGGGTTATATTTTTTCATGTGCATTATAGTTGGGCTTCATTATCTCTTCTTTGGATGTAGGGAACAAGTATGCCACCCTCAATTTGAAGTACGCATACTTTTGTATAGCAATAACTCTGCCCCATAAGAAATACATGAGGTTTGTGGTCAGCAACATTCACTACCAGTTCATGGTCCTCCTGTTCAGTCTATTATCAGCCCCTTGAATATTTACCAAACTAGAAGACTTATCCAGCATTGCCTGGGCCCAGTTGGATGGGGGATACTGCACAGGCCTCCCGGCAGCACTGCCAGGGCTGACCCAGGACTGGAGAGGTGGGCCACTGGTGGGTCCTGTGGAGGGTGGACAGGGCTGCACTGCCCAGCCCTAGTGGTGCTCCCAAAGGGGAGGGGGGAGAGAGGTGTGGTGGTGGGCTTTGCTCCCCCCCCCCCCCTTTGCGCCCCCCCCCTCCACCCCCATCTGGCTCAGGGTCTGGCGGAGAGAGGTTTGAGGCCACTGACAGGCAAGATGGTGAGCCCCATCCCCAGCTGGCCACTCAGTAGTGGCTCTGGAGTAGTGGCTCCCCTGCACTCACTGCCTCCAGTGATAACTGTGAAGAGACGCCTTTCTTCATACAGCACAGTTAACCTGTGGAATTCCTTGCCAGAGGATGTTGTGAAGACGAGTACTAGTGTTCTTTAACAGGGTTAAAAAAGAACTAGATACATTCATGGAGGTTAGGTTCATCAATACTTATTATCCAGGATGGGTAAGAATGGTGTGACTAACCTCTGTTTGTCAGAGGCTGGAAGTGGATGACAAGAGTGGGATCACTTGATGATTACCTGTTCTGTTCACTGCGTCTGAGGCATCTGGCATTGGCCACTGTTGGAAGACAGGATACTGAGCTAGATGGACATTTGGTGTTATCCAGTCTGACTGTTCTTATGTTCTTAAGAGAAAGGGATGGCTGAAGATTGGTAAGAAGACCCCTGCACACATTACTTGTGGGTCGAGCCATCACAGTAGGGAGTTGAGCACTGGGTGTGAAGAAACCGCTGTATGAAGAAAAAATTACTTTTGTTTGTTTTAAACCTACTATCTATTAATTTCATTTGGTGACCTCTAGTTCTTATGCTATGGAAACAAGTAAATAAATAAAGGCTTCTTGTGAAAGAAGCCTTAGACTTGGGCAGGGTGAGGGGCACATTTGAGAGACCTCAGAACACAGGGACTCTGATCTCAGGCAGACACCACTCTGCACAACAATGTCAGAGAGCTGAGAGCGGAATGCCTGGCTTTTTGGGCCCACCTGTCGAGGAGCTGTGAATCAGTGTTGAAGGACAACACAACAACTATGTTTTATATCAACAAACAGGGTTGTATATGCCTCTCCCCTGTGCCAGGAAACCCTCAAGCTATGGGACTTCAGTGTAAATCTCTTGATATGCCTAGTTTTATTGTATTTTCTGGAAATACAGAATGAATTATTGGACTACCTCAGCAAGTTGTTCCACATCACAAGTGTTTCCTTACACCCAAATATCACAAACTTCTTTTTTCAATTTTGGTGTATTCCCCAAGTTGACCTCTTTGCCATGAGATGCAACTGGTGGTATCAATAGTTTTGCTCCTTAATCACAGCCAGGGCTTCATCATGGACATGTTCCTCCTTCCATATAGAGGCCATCTCCTATACACCTTTCTGCCTATCCCTCTTGTTCACAAAGTTTTCCTCAAGATACATCAGGCATGAGCTTCAGTGATATTGATAGTCCCAGACTGGGCCCACCAACACTAGTACTCATCTCTCCTTGACATATCCCTGGAAGTCTGTCATCTTACAGCTCCTCCTAGACTTAATAACTCAGGATCACAGTGTTTCCAGCCTTTGCACCTCATGCTGTGGAAGCTCCATGGTTGAACCTGATGGAGCTCTCCTATTCAGATGTTAGAGCAGTCCTTGGCAGCAGGAAACCTTCCACCAAGGCTGCTTACGTCACCAAGTGGAAGAGAATTCCATTCTGATCAGCACAGTACTGTCCATCCCTAACACTCACCTCTATTCCAGTTATATTAGATGAATTTCTCTGTCTCAAGCAGCAAGGACTGTCTGTTTCATCAATAAGGGTTCATTTCACAACCATCTCTGCCTTCCATCCAGGTGCAGAGGGACAATCATTCTTTTCCACCCTTATGGTCATCTATTTCCTAAAGAGACTTAACCAACTTTATCCATGTGTCTGGCAATTGGTTCCAACCTGGGGGCTTAATCTGGTCCTTTGCAAATTAAGGAGGCCACCCTTTGAATTGCTGGCAGTTTGCTCTCTGCTTTACCTTTCATACAAGGAGATGTTTGTAGTGATAACATCAGCCAGGAAGTAATTGAACTCAAGGACCTAACATCAGAGCTTCCGTGCACCATGTTCTATAAGGACACGGTTAAGCTCAGGCCTCCTCCTGCTTTTCCTCCTGATGGTTGATTCCCAATTTCATATCAACCAGATCATTTTCCCCGCAGTGTTCTGTCCTAAATTACACACAAGTGGCGGGGAGCAGAAGCTTCACTCAGATGTTCACTGAGCACTCACCTTTTACATTGAAAGAACAAAATAATTCCAGAAGTATACCCAACTGTTTTTGTCATAAAGGTAGACAGAATGAAGGGACTCCTGATCTCTTTCCAGTGGATTTTGATATGGATCACATCCTGCATCTGTGAGAGCTATACCCTGGCAGAGATGCCTGCTTATCTGCTCACTGCACATTCCACCACAGTGGAAATGGTGAGTTTCTCATTCAGGAAAGATACAAAGTGGCTACATGGTCCTCATTATGCACCTTTACATCACATTATGCTATCACCCAGCCGGCCACAGGTAATGCAGCCTTTGGTAGAGCTTTACTCCAATCAGTGGTCATGTGAATTCTGACCCAGCATCCAAAACTTTGACTTGGGAGTCACCAGGTTGGAGTTAACATGAAAGAAAAGAAGAAAAACTGGTTATTTATCTTCTTGTAACTGTTGTTCTTGAAGATGCATTGCTCTGCATTGCTCATGTCCATTCCATTACCCACCCTCCTACCCCTCTATTGGAGTAGCTAGCAAGAAGAAAAAGAGTGGGTGGCAGGTCAGCAGGGCCCTATATTGAGTGCCGTAAGGGTGCCACTCCAGGAGGCATCTGGACTGACCCAACAGATATTAGTAGGGGGAAAACCTTCCAGCTGCCGTGCACGCATATGTTCATGTGCCTGGTTGGAATGGACATGAAGAACACTTCTCGAAGAACAACAATTATGAGAAGGTAAGTGAGCATTTTTTTTTTCATTTTACCTATTGCCTTTCTGAGGATTATTCTTGCTTGATAAAACAATCTACCCACATTTCAACAACTGCACCTTAGTTCCCTCCCTCTCACATAATTGTAAACAATAAACTTTGAGACTACATTATTAAAAATGCATATTTACATATAGTTAAAGCTAGTTACATTTTTACCATAAATTATAATATTTCATTTGAATGTGTTAGGATCGATGGAAAGAATCCATTAAAAACCTGGATGAAAAGCTGCAATGTATTATGGGTGATGCCCTTGTTTCAGCAGCATGCATCATCTACAGTGGAGTATTATCAGCAGGATATCGACAGCAGCTAGTAAATGAATGCTTGAGATTGTGTAATAAGAACATCATTCCTGTGTCTCCAAATTACTCCCTAATAACAGCTATGACAGAAAAAAATGAGGTAATAGTATAAGCAGATAGTGAGAGGCATTCGTGGGGGTGGATTAATGTTGAAGGCTTTAACAGCATGTCCCTTTTTTCCCCACATATTTTACTCAGATTATTTACAATCTAGATTAAATATTTTGTTGTATCACATTGTTTATATCTTTATATGTAGTGTGACAGGATCAGGCTACAGGAGAGTACTCGAAGGGAGGTATGTTAGCCCTAGATTAAGTAGATCTCTGTTTCCTGGGAAAATGGGCAGGGGCTGACATACAACCAACAGGAACTTTCCAGAATCAGTCTGGACAATCAGGCCAGTTAGAATACTTGGAGCCAGTTAGGAGCCTTCCTGAGCCAAGGGAGTCAGGCTAATCAGAACACGCTGGACCAATCAAGAACCAGTTGAGACTGGTTTAAAAGGGCTCTCCTTCTGTTAGTTCAGAGGCACATGAGGAAGAGGAAAGGAGTCAAAGATCTGAGAGTGAAGAGTGTCTGAGTGAGAACTGGGAACTACAAGTAAGGCAGAGTGTTGTGGAGGAGCAGGATAGACTGCTCAAGTACCAGAAGAAAGGTACTAGGAGGGATTGTTTGGGGAAGTGGCCCAGGGAAGTAGTTGCCAGCCTGGGAGCAGAACAAACCCTGTCTGTTGCTGGTGCCTTAGGGTCTCTGAGCTGGAACCCAGACTAGTCGGCAGGCCCGGGTTTTCCCCAACCCTTCCCACACCACTACAGAGTCTGTCCCTGGATAGGGAGACCAGGATTATAAAGGGGTTTCAGTCCATACTATGGACTAGCCTGTTATGAATATGGTTCAGTAGGCTATGACCCTTGCCTCTAAAAAAAGAAGAGGCTGTGTGGAAGGTCACAATAAGCTGCTGAGGCTGAACACAATCTGTCAGAAGCACAGGACCCCCAGGCACAGCAAGAGCTTTGCCACATTAGTTAATTGTTATAATTGTATCCATCAAATAACAGGGATAGTCAAAATGTAAAAATATTGAAATATTGAAAATTAAAATTTTCTAGATCAGTAAATGGCAAAAGGAAGGTTTGCCTCTCGACCAGTACTCCATTGAAAATGCTATCCTTGTTAAGAATGGACAACGATGGCCTTTACTAATTGATCCACAGAAACAGGCTTATAAATGGGTTTGTCAAATGGAAGGTAATGGGCTACGACAAATTCATGCTTCTGATTCCAGTTACTTAAGAACTTTAGAAAATGCCATGCGAATTGGAGACTCCATTCTGCTACAGGTAATTTGGTTTAATTTTGTGGAGTTCTGAGTTAAGAACAAGGGGGGGAAATCCCATTAGAAAGCTATGAATGTAAGAAGAATAGAGTGAATTTCAATGTTAACTACTCTTTTCAAAGATATAAAAGTAGGAGAATGATGGAAGAGAAGGAACTACTTAGTAGTTTTATTTACATTCCGTATTAAATATCTGTCTAAAACTCTAGGAACCTGATTCTCCTCCCTCACACTTATGTAAATTAGTAGTAGTTCCAGTGATGTCAATGATGTTACACTTCATTAAAACTAGTATAGAGAACAGTCCATAAGCACTGATACTTTCTCAATAAAACCACATATATACAAGAAATTCTCAGCTGCATGGATTCCTACAGAATCATAAGGACAAAGCCACCTGGGATGAGGACCTGTGCATCTGCACTAGTTCCGTGTCCTTCCTATCCCCATACTTCCATTCCTACACAGCCTGAGTCCAACGGAGTCTGACTGACAGGGCTTCTTCAATGTCTACTGTCCCTCAGTCCTTGTTTAGGGGAGTTCCCAGCTGGGTATAAGGGCTATGACTTTCTCTCCAGAAATTAAAATTAATGATAAAACCCAAGGTGTGTATTTGATTTTGAGCTTGCAAAGCTAAAAGATCAAGTGTATTGTTCAAGTTTATTAATAAACCATAATGATTGAAATGTAGACAATATATTCATAGGATCTTGCTGAAACTGTGGATTCAAATTTAAAGTCAATCTTAAAAAGGGAACTCTACAATAGACAAGGTAAAGACTTCATCAGGATTGGAGATGCTGAAATTGAATACAACCACAACTTTAGGTAACTGTCCTTATCTATGACATTTTTCTATCTAATATTGTATTAGATTGTACTATAGATTTAATTACAGCCGCTAAATACATTTTAAGAACATTATTAAGGTAGCAAAGTAAGCCAGAAAATTCCAGAATTCAGCTTGCCTCTTCAGTCTTAATTCAACTCCACTATGTGCATATCTATTATGATACTATCTTCATTTATATAATCACATACTATTTTTCCTCAGGACTATGCTTCATTCAGTAAGAGCATGGAGAATGCTTACTTAATAAGCAGTTATTCAGTATTTGGATTTCTCTTTGTTGTTGAATGTGCTATTTGCTGTACACTAATCAAATTCTGCTCTGATATCAGAATTATAGGTTCTTCAAGTGATATCCCTGTAGATGTTCCATTATTGGGCTGCTGATCAGAGATCTTCTATAGCAGAGGCTGGTCAGGACATTCTTGCAGAGTTGGTGTCTCATATTGGCATTAGGAGTCTGTTTGACATGTGTGCATTGCGACCCCCTAAGTTCCTTCTCAACCGTCCTCTGGCAAAGACAGAATTTGGAGCAGTGCTGCACCCCTTCCCTATTAAGACAAAAAAATAACATAATGTAGATGAAAACTTCCAGGTTCTTTACCCTTCCTTTAGAAAAGTTCATTCTAGTTTGTTAGTTTTAAAAAAAATCTCCCATTTCACTCCTTTGGGAGCGACCCTGCAGGATGGTCTCACAATATGCCAGGATCCCCTGGTTTTAAAAAATGTGACACTTGCAAGGACTGCATGCCACGTTCAGACAGACATTTCCTTTGTGTCAAATGTCTTAGTCAGATGTACCTTCCTCCCAAATTTGCCCACTTGTCATGGCCAGGATTTGCTCTTAAAGATGATACTTATGGAGAAATTTCTCCAACTTGGCTGTCAGATGAGCATACCTAAACCCTATCCAGATACTCTCCATTGAGGTTAGAACTGACCAAGAGCATGGCTCCACTCTCCAATGAGAAGAGGAAGAAAGCCTCAACCTCTCCTCACAAGGATCTGAATAAAAAGAAATGGTCCCCAATGAGGACTTTATCAGCAGTGCTGACATCCTCATGAACACTGTAGCATATCAGGCACCAAGTGCTCAGGTTATAAACATAAGGAGTTGAGACCTACATGTGCACAGGTCTCTTCCTCAGCACCGATGGCACTAACAACTGCTCCAGAGTCAGCAGCGGCAACAACACTGGTGTCAGACCAATGACTACACCAGCACCGTGATGGGCTCATTGGCACGTGCCACTACTAAATACCAGATGTCCAGACTCACAGCATCTACCCATAAAGCCATGGTGCTGCATCCCTCAGCACCACAACAATTCTTGACCCCATTGCTCCCATACCTCATCTCTCCTTAAGACACAGATTCTGTCTCTTCCAGTATCTCCTAAAACTTTCACTTCCAGGACACCAGAGAATCCATGCAAGGAAACAGAGGAGGACCTTGCACCAGATAGTCACCTGAACATAACTCCTCTTCCTTCCATGATGAAGCTGTCATGCCATCCCCACCAGAGATGGCAGTTTACTTCAAGCAGTTTCAGGAGCTAATCAAAAGGGTAGCAATCAGCCAAGACATTCCTTTAGATGACATGCAGGAGACTCAGCATAAACTCCAGAAGATTCTTCGACCTTCAACATTATCAAAGGTCATTTCCTCCATACACAAGGTTATACTAGATCTGGCCGACACTATATGGCAGATGTGTGCCGCTGTGCTACCAACATATAAGAGACTGGATCATAAATACTATGTTCCAGCTAACAGACCTTTTGTTTTCTCAGCCTCAACTGATCTCCTTGGTGGTCAAAGCTGCAAAGCACGGGACAAACTCCCCTCCCCCCCAACACCAATCCATGCCACCGGACAAGGATTCTAAATGTCTTGAGTCATGTCTATATTACATTACTCTAGAACTTAGAATCTACAGCTATGCTGCTCTTCTTGCCAGTTATGATTTTGATAATTACACCAAATTCTTTGACTTTGCTTGTCCAATTTTGAGGACAGGTGGACAGACTTCAAATTGGTCCTTGTAAGAGGCTGGCTATTATCCACAACAGCTCTGCAGGCATCACTGGATATGACTGACACGGTGGCCCACACCATGGTCATTGCTGTAGTAATGCATGGAGCCTTGTGACTTTCTTCTTCAGAATTTCCTATAGAACTACAGGTCAAAGTGAAGGACCTACCCTTTGATAAAGAAAAGTTCTAACAAGACCAGTGAAGTTCTTTACACTATAAAAGACTCCAGGGCCAGTCTGCATACACTGGGAATATACCTTCCCTCTTCCAAGAGGAAGCCATACTGCCCCCACTAATAGTCTCACCCATAATACAACTGCCAGTAGCCTAGGCTTTATGATGCTGTGAGGAACTGCAACAGACTGAGTAGATGCTCACAAAAT